CTATACATACCTCCACTGGAGTATTTTTTTGGAAGCTGTAAATGAAACCAGATTAGCACATCAGCATTCTCAAGTGTATTCCTACAATCTGTTTTGGTTATTCATATGGCTTGAAAGCCTCTCCCTGCATCTAAGGCCTTACCTGAACATATTCTGCTGCAATTTCAACTCATAACTGCTTGTTTTATTCATGATGGATGTGGAAACCTAACTAAACTCTCCCTGCAGATACCTTTTAAGAAGTATTTTCTTCAGACCAAAACTTCAGTATTCCCTCACTGAAAGGCAACTTTAGCAGGTGGTGTTTTGTTTTTCTCTGGGCAAGTCTCACAGACCACCCTGTATCTCAGCACTCTTTGGCAACAAAACCAGGATCTACTATCACATTCTGGGATCAAATATAGTCATGCTTTTTTAAAAAACAAACAAACAAACCACCCTCAACCAGTCAAATTTTACTGGCAAAGATCAAGCTTTCAAGTTCAAAGCATCAATGATGAAAAAACTGATGGGACCCATGTACCAAGTGTGACAGCTCACAGGCAGTGACAGGATGTCAGAGCAGCCTCCCAGTTATACCTGCAGGTAACTTTTTTAAGCTGCTCTACGTATCACCTGCTTATGTCTGATGAAACATGACATATAAAGCCATTGTAGAGCTAACCAATCCATTTTTTTCCCTAATCCTTGATTATGGTTTCTCTCTTTCACAGACTTTTTTATTTTCTTGACAAATCTTGTTACATAGCCGTAACTTTCCCAAGTATCACATTATCCCAAACTGAACAAAACAGTTCCTGCTGAAGATCTACCACTCCTCAGCAGAACGGATAAACTGCTTCATTGCCTTATTTAAAATGCTTCTAAATGTTCCAGTATGACAAGCGAATTTTCATGACAGTGATGCTGCTGAGTCATGATAATTTAGGAACCATTACAACCCCCACATACTCCCCCACAGAACTGCTGCCCTGCCAGCTGCTACTTGTCTGTGTAGGCAATATACCAAAACACAATAATTTGAACCCATCTACACCAAAATGGCTGAATCCAAAGCTATTGTTTTCAGACCATTTATTGAATTTGTCAGGATCACATTATCTGTGTATTCACTAAGAACATTACTGCAATATAGGGAAGTGAAACCACCAAAAAGTACATGACTCAGGACGGACTCCCTGATGTGAACATTCTTCCCTTGGACATACCCAGGTCTTGCCTTTTTTCTAGATGTTGTGAGGAAAAATGCTCCTCAACTCTTCAGCATTCTGGAACTTTTCCCAGCCCCATGGGCTCTCAGCTTCCTAAATACTGTAGGATACATTCCAGAAGGCACAGTCAACCTGAAGATGATAAAGTTATCATTAACCCATTTCTCTACTTTTAACTGGAGCTCAGAGTAGAGGAAAGACAGTTTTCCTAAACTAAGTCAAGATCATAACACATTCAATATTTTCAGGATGAGAGATCCTTGCTAAGTTTTTTTAAGATTAACATCAAAGGTCTTTTCAGATCATCTCACGTGAACCCTGATTAATCTCTTGATGATGGATGACTCATTGAAACACAATGGCAAAACACTCCTCTCTGCTGAAAGGCTGGAAACCTGTTGTAATCTTAACCATACACCTTCACCAGCAACTTCGTGAACACCAATAATTTCTGTGCCCAGAATAATACCATATACCTCCCTAGCAGACTCAATCCTTTATTTACAAGTTAATTGATCATCACAAACTGAAGATGACAAAATTCCAAGAGAGTGCCACTCATTGCCACATACTCTGTATGTTTCAAATACGCTTTGGGGAGGGGGTCACACAGATATCCAGAACCTAGAAGAGACACCAAAAATAAAATTTAAATTAAAATTTCTAATTTCTTCCTGTATTGAAAAAAGGGAATTCTTAAAACCAGGGACATTTAGACAACATTATACACATACTTTCTTATCAAGAGCCACTAACATCACACCACAGAGCTGTGATCTTCCTTCCAGTGTGGAGGAGAAAACTATGCAAAACACTGAACTGGAAATGATCACAAGATTCAAGGAGAAAACAAATCAACATTGGCAGTTTTGCTAGAATGTCTGTAAGTCCCAGAACTTCAGTTGCTCCAGGCAAACTCCCTAATGTACAACAGTCCCCGAGGCACAAGGTCACATGCCGCAAAATATTTCTTTCTGAGCATCATTTATTGCAGAAAACCCAAGTTATGTTTGGCTGCACTGGTTCAAAGCATTTTTGTTAAGCCAGACCTTGGAAGTGCAACTATTTCAGATTAGTCATATTATAGAACTGCATACACCAACACTTTGCAAAACTCTTTGCTGTTTAATTATAGAAAGGCCTAAGTAGTATAAAGTGTGAAAATTCTTCTCCTGACTTTTGAGGACCAGCTAGAGAAGGAGTTGCACACTTTAATCAAGAATTTCCAGTTTGTAGTGATACATCCTGATCACTAATATGTACGATCGATTATGCCAAAATGCTTCCCTCCCTGCTTACTGTCACGCTCACAGCCCTAACCCAGAACTTCTAGGGCTGCACAGTGTTTGCACATACATGTATAGGGCAGTGGACACTTAGCCACTATCAATCTCTACCTAAACCCACTCTCAAAACCCTAAGTTTATCTTCTGACCATACAGTAACTCATTAAAGTTTGGCACATTTTCGCAGGAACTTATAAAGTTACAGCACACAAGTTAAACAACATCCTGGCTTTCATGAAGTATTCTAAGCAGGACCACGTTTCTGCCAACTTCACTGCTTTTCATCAAATCTGACTAGCAAAGAGAACATGGACTTCAATTCCACTTGCTGAAACAAAAGCCACACATGATTTAGTTGGCATCCTGGTCACTACGTAAGTGACAGTAAAATGTCTACTTATAATGCTGACTTTGCAGAACCAAAACTAAACCACTCCTGCCTCTACAAATAAATTAATGTAAAACTTAAAAATCCCAGACAAACTTCCTGGTACACACACTACCTCATCAACTGCAAAATCCAGTAAGTATGACCTGTCCCTGGATAAGTTAGAGCAACAGTCACCTCCTGGTTTCTATGGAGCTGTAAGGAAAAGCTGTGTCCATGCAAGCACAGCCAGCACTCCACAGGAGAGAGGTGCTTTAAAGCTTCAGCTCTACTGAACAGAGTCAGCCCTTTTCCAATCTCTTCGTACAGACAAACAAACAAAGCACACCCTGGAGTACACTTCACAGCTAAGTCAATTCACCAGTTACACAACTAACTTCAAACAACTTGTAACACTGGAAAAAAAAAAGGTAACTTTAACTCCTGAGCCAATACTTTTTCTTCACTTTGTAAAGGCAAGAACTACATTATCTGACACCCCACACTCCTGAAGAAATAAGCAGATCTAACCACAGAATTTTTCTGTATTAAAATAAGGATCACACAACTCCTGAAATACTGTTTCCATTTAATGAAAATGCTAGCGAATATTATTTTTTCTGTAGTGACTTAATTTCCTAATTTAAAACAGGAATGTCAAGATTCAGAAACACCATGCAGCAGTCACATACGTGAGACAAGGTGATCATACTCTGTAAATATTCTCAAAGTAAGGAATTTTTCCTAACATTTGGAAAGTATGCGCTTCCATTTGATTTGTTGTATTTCACATCTGCATTCTGCTCCTCATATTTCTGAGACACTGCAGAAAAAACAGGATTTGCGTTTTTTTAAAATGCCATCTGTTCCCTGCATATTTTCACTTTAGGTCCTCGTATGATATCTGCAATGGAAACTTCTGTGTCATATAGGATTAAGGCTATAAACCAGATAAATATAAAATGCAGAGGGCTGTCACACTTCCCTACAAATTGCTGTAAAAAAACCCCAACACCATAAGGAAGTATCACCTGAAGCCTTTCTGTTCTGAATACAAAACTTTTAATAAGTTCTTCTTAATGGGATTTTCCTCCAGAAATTATGTGAAAGAGTGAGAGAGGAAAAGCTGCTCCTCTTAAATCTGGGAATTTTATTTGTTCCTACCACTGCTCTACACCTGTTTCCTTCCTGAGTCAGAAACTGGAAGTTTGAAATACCAGTCTCCAAATGGATAAGCACGGGGAACCTTTCACTGAAATACCAGCCATATTCATTCATGAAGTAACATTTGCATAAGCTTTTTTCATAACCACCTAACATTTTTATAGAAGCAATGTCAACTCTACGGTAAACTCAGCTTTGATGGTGCTCCAATTATCTCAGCTGTTATCTCCATTCCCCCTCTTTGCTATTTCCACACTTTGCTCAGGCACTTGCAACGTTTCAGAGTATTATCAACATTACTAACACTTGTGTCACTCACAGCTCGGGGGCGGGGAAAGGCAAGCTGACCTACCTGGTCATGTTAATATAAAAAGATCTTTAAGCAACACTCTTAAACCATTCCACCATTACTTAGAAGAATTTAAATAGCTACTGTTCCTCTAAAGCTGTTTAAAAAACTCGTAATTTGTGCAGACACCCACTGACTGCTCTAAAATCGTTCCAAAACAGCTCGTTTCTAAACTGAACTGAATTCAAAGTCTTAAATGGATACTTGGAACGCTAGGCGCGTTCTGATCAAGACCAGACCCAGCCCTTTAAGTTAGACCACACAAGACCTTAGGCCAAGGGGGCATAGAACACACCGGACACACGGAAATAACTTTCAAGCCGGAAAGAGCCGCCTCACGCTCGGGCCAGGCGCTGTTTTCCTCCGAGCAGACACCGAGCGGCACCTGACAAGTTTCCCAGCCTCGCTGGCAGCGGGCAGAGCGAGCCGAGCCCCGGCTGCCCGCAGCACACGTGTCACTGCCGGGCGCCGACCGCCCCTTCCCGCCGGGGGCAGCCGGGAAGCGCGGCCCGGGAAGAGCCGAAGGGAAACGGCCAGGCCGCCCGGTTTCGTTTCCAGCCTACAACGGGGTCGCCCCTGCCCGGCCCCCGGGACNGGCCTTTCCCCCGGCGCGGCGGAACACGATGGGCCACCCCGGTTCCTGCCCGGACCGGTAGCGCTTAGTACCGGGCGCCGTCGGAGTGCTTATGGGGGCACCGGAAGGCGCTACAGCGTGTGGGTCCGGGGTAGCACCCGGTGAGTCCTGCCCGGTGGGCAGAGCGGCCCCTTCTCCCTCTGGAATATTCTCCGCTCCCTTCGCCCTCCCTCAGGGGAGTTTGGCTGTACGGAGCCGTCTGTATCTCCCGGCGCAGCAGGACCGGGAACTGAGGAGTCAAATCCAGGGCGAGCCGCCCACTTTCCCCCGGTGAGTGTCGTACCCCGGCAGGGAGCTTATTTGAAGCTTGGATGGGATTGCTTTTCCACTCCTTTTTTTAATTAATGATCGCTTTTTCCGCCTGTGAGGAATTGTTCCTTTATAAGCTTTGTGTAGCCGTATATCCCTTGAAGAAGAGATGATCCATAAACGGGAAGCCATCACCTGTTCCCTGATACTCAGTTCTTTAACTAGAAATTGTTCTTGCAACAGTTTGGAATTTTATAAACTTTAGGATTTCAGTTCATAAAGCTGCTTGAAACTAAGTAGTCTGCAGTGGGCAAGTACTGATTGAATACATATCTAATATATATTCACATATCTCTTTAAATATATACCTGTAAGACTCTTGTATTTGGAAAATGTTGACTGTGACTGAACTTTGAGCATCTGACCTGTTCAGATGTTCAGTTCATCACTGATGAACTCAATGATTCATTGGTTTCAGACCTTCTGCTGATTTTTTTCTGTTTTAGGGCATTGACAAAACAAATATGTTTCCTCTCATACAACGATGCTGCTTCAACACACCTTTCAATGTAAGTTACTGAAGGCTTTTTTTCTGATTTTAATTAAAAGTAAAATACCAAAAGATAGGACTGTAGCTTTGAAAAAAAAGGTGGCTTCCAAGCTGGAGTTTATCACTCAACTTTTCTGGAATAGTTCATCATTTCTACAGCACTTTTAAGCAAAGCTGTTTACTTTATTTTATTTTATTGTCTCAGTCTTTTTTCCCTATCATTTCTTGATGGAGTGGTGAGGGGACAGTAGCTGGTTTCTGGGGTGACCTTATCCTGCTTCTATAAGAAAGTATTTTATCTTTTACTCTGAAAAGGGCTGATATATCTTAAAAGTGCCTAGAGAAGGCATGTGTGTGGGGAGGGATAGGTGGGCACTGAGTAAGCTTTGATTGTGCACTCTGGAGACCCCAGTTGCTCTTTATCAGCTGCATTGGGTGCCTTCATTAGTTCAGTTCAAACCACTTGAAATTCAAAAGCAAGGACAGCTGTGGTATGACCTGACCTGGAAAACTACTTGGTACAATATTCAGTAGGTAGTTTAGTTACCTGCAGATCTCTAAGCCTGCACTGTGCAGTGCTCAGAACAAGTTTTGTGCTTGCAGCTGCAGAAGTTAACTGGTCCCAGTCTGCTGCTCTATGGGAAGAAGACAACTTGGTCTTCCTTGGCACTCCGGCTGTGGAGAGAAACGCATCCTCTCTCAACATCTCAGAGACTCCAACCTGCATTGGTTTACACAACAAAGGTCCAGGCTTTCCACACCTCTGTCCCCGTCTTCAAGAAGAAAACCCCTGCAGAATCTGAGGCAGAATCACAAAAGAAACTGGAATCACTGAAGGATTCTCCCAAGCCAGCTCTTTACTTAAGCCTTGGAGGGCTCATTCCCTTTGTGGCCGTGCCACTGACCATGGCCCTTCAGGGGACCTACTGGCCACAGCTGGCCTTTGCTCAGGTTGCCTATGGAGCTGCAACAGCGTCATTCCTAGGGGGAATGAGGTGGGGGTTTACTCTCCCAGAAAACAGCCCAGCCAAGCCAGACTGGCTGAACCTGGCTAACAGCACAGTTCCTCCTCTGCTTGCCTGCCAAGCTTTGCTTTTCAAAGATGTCGCTCAGGGAGCAGTAATGCTCATGCTGGCCTTAGGGATAGCACTGCATTATGACATTTCCCTTCTTCCTACTTACCCCAGGTGGTTTAAAGTACTGAGGGTAGCAGGAACAGTGGTGATGATATCATCCCTGTTGGCCACTGTAGCACTGAAAGTTTTCTTAGAAGGGAACCAAAGTGATGACAGAAAAATATAGCAGAACACAAATTAATAAATCAGTAAGGAAAAGCTATTATTTGCCAATAAAGTATTTGTATGGAGTACCAGGAGAAATAAAGACTGACTTGTGCTTAGAAGTTGTATGATGGCAGGGATCAAGATGCCTATTCTTGAAGCAAAATGATTTTCCAACTGATTTTGAAGCTAGTTCAGGAGGGAAAGGTTGTAAATTGCAATTACTTCCAAGGCAAAAATCAATCTGTCCTTATCTGTAGAACAAGGAGTGACTCCTGAATGAGATGTTGCTGCTCTAGGAATTTAGAATGGAGATTAAAAATTACAAGGGTATGAATTGCTCTGTGCTGAATTATTAAAGCATGTGGTTTGACTGTAATGTGTGATCATGTTCTGAGGTGGGGAAAACAACAGTAACATGGTGAAAGCAGTTCTAGTTTGGTGTTTAAAGAAGTAGCAGAGACATATGAAAAAGCACATTCTACTCAGTTGCTGATGTGGAACAAGACTCCTGCTTTCAGAGAAGGTGCTGAAAATCACAGAATGGTTTGGGTCAAAAGGGGCCTTAAAGATCATCTCGTTCCAATCCCCTGCTGTATACAGGGACACCTTCCCCTAGATCAGGTTGCTCAAAGCCCCATTCAGCCTGGACACTTCCAGGGATGCTGTGTGAGGGAGCGCTCAGTGCGGTGTCAGGTAAGAAAGGACCAGGTGAGCTTTGTTTGCAGTGGCAAGCCAAAGCCAGCACTCACCTGAAATGTGTTATTGAGCTGCTGTGCTGGAGTGGGGAAAAGCTGAAGTGGGAGCTCTGTATCCCTGCCAAGTTGTCACAGGAGATGGAAGGTCAAATTCCTGCTCAGGCTTACTGAAATTATAGAGGCGGTTTGGGCCACCTGTTCCTAGGTTTTGTTTGGATTTAGGGCTGCCTGGCAAAAAAAGCTGCATGCAACACAGCCATAAATATCTGCCACACTCCTAAATTAAAGGACTGTTAACTTATGCTATGACACAAGGACTCAAGTGCTGGCATTAAGGGATCAGATAATGGGACTTAAAGTAGCTTGTCTTCTCCTTCCTAAAAATCCATATATATGGACAGGTACCAATGGACTTGTAGCCTTCAAACCCTCCATGATGGGTCTATTACTGAAACCACTGCAGAAGCACATGCTCTGTGTACTTAATTCTTCCTAGCACATCATTTAGTGGAACTGTGGAAGATACAACCTAAGTCACATGGATTTTCTTTTTTTGTGTCAGCTACCTCAAGAAACCTAGGAAATGGAATGTCAGCATATTTCTTGTAAGCTTTTTATCAGAAGTATTTAAGTACAGTATAAGATGCAGGAAGAAAGTTGAAAATGACATCCACACTTGGTCTTAGGAACAGATAATCCTCATAGTTCTGCTAAAGCAGTATTCTTCATTGTTGTTCTACACCAAATAAAGCACATGTTGTCCCTTAAAATTTGTTGCTTGTTCATTCTGCAAAGAACAGATGTTTAAGAAACCTGCCTGTCCTGGAGATGGAACTATCTTGTATGCTGTTGCTGAAACAGCAGCTGTGTACATCAGCTTTACTTTTGTAATCTGTTAACATTCGTATGTTAAACAATATATTATATAAGAAATTATGAGCAATTATCAATTGCTCTTTGTTGTACTATGAAAGTATCATGTTAAACAATATATTTCAGAGCTTTCTGGACATAAAGGAAATAAAATTGAGTTTGTGAATGAAAATGTTTTTTTCTATTCCTTCTTTCTTAGACATGGCATCTTTTCAGACAGGTCCAGAGAAGAGTCCTGTCTTTTGATTAGGTAAAAGAGGTGCTGAGGAGCAGAGACCATAATCAAGCAGCTTCAAAGTTTCATTCAAACATGACAGAATCGGTTACAAAACCCGGAGAAGGTAACTTCAGACAACTGCAGACTCCCTCAAGCTCCATTAAACCAGGAAGTTTACAGGTAGGGATCAAAAGTAAAACTGTAGATTCCAATAATAAAATACAGCTAAGGTACTGTTTCTCAAACAGTTCCAAGAGAAATCCTGAAATAAAAAGAAGAAAGACTAAGAAATATTACCTGTAATTTTATCCCACAGAGGACTGAATAGAGCTGGCAAGACAGACTCTCAAGAAGTTTGAGTGATTTTACACTGAGAAGAGAAATACGAGTATTTTACTGCAGAAGTGTGTTACTTCACACAGTCACAATTTATAACAAATCTTTCCCTAGTGTTCTACTGGGAAAGACAATTTCCAATAGAAAGAAAAAATGATCTATTATATGAAAGTGACAGTAATACAGCTTACTAAGTTATTAAAGCAACCTATTCAAGAGCGTTCCAGTCAGTTCCGAAAACACATTTTATTATGAAAAACAGTTTAAACACAAGCTTATACTTGAAAAAAATCAAACCGTTAATTCAGTCATGTAAGAAATTCCTTGAAGTAAAAGCACACACAAGGTTATGGAACAATCAGAGAAACTCTCCATCATCTAGCATGTTTTAGCCCAACTCTATGTTAGATTTTAGGACCTAGATTATTAAGGTACCTGCAACATTCACCTTGGAGTATTTATTCATGTATTAATTTGGTAATTTTACAGAGGGGATATTGACCTAAACAACATGAATGTTCCCTTGTCTACACAGTGCCAAGCTTCCTGTTTTGTGACATTCCAGTTGTGGTTTTGTGTTCCAGAATAACACTGTCTATCAAAACTCAAGTGGCCTCACTTCAGACTCCATCCAAATCATCCACAGCTGTGCTGAAAATGCACCCACAGTGTGCAAAAAGCAACTTCAAATACATTAATTAAATTAATCTAGAAATAACTCCAAATTCTTTGTAGTATTGTTTTACTAAGTATATCTAGCTAAATACAAACTCCTTAAGAGCGACTGATATCATCACTTTAATGCTAAATGCAGCTAATTCTTTCACAAAAAGCTCCATTTGCTTAAATTTGGATGAGGCAGGATACAAGATGTAGTGAAGGTGAAGAAGTGTGCCTTGTAGAACAGCAAGTATTCAATGCCAAGTCTCAGCATGTGTCACACAGGGTAAAAACACATTTGATTGTGGGGAAAAAAAATATCGGGGCAAAAGCTTTTCACTGTGTTTTTATACTAAGACCAGTCCTAAAAAGAACAGCCAATCTAATTAATAGCACTTGCATTTAAAATTCACCAGAGCTTACACAAAAAGGAGCTCTACTGGCATCACTGACACCACTGAGAAGAAAAGCCAGCGTGGAAGGGGAACAGCATTATTAAAACTGTGAGGACAACCTTCCAGAATAGGAAATTCTCATCCACTCACCATTCAAATTCGTGGAGTGGCCAGAAAGTAAAGATCTAATTCATATTTAATGCCCACCATGTCCAGCAACAGAAAAGAGGCTTAAATGCATCAAGGTCATGAACAGAGGCATCAAGTCTTTCCTGTCTGTTATCTTCTCTTCCTTGTTTTCTGCCAGAAAATGAACTAATGCCATCCAAATCACCCAATCTGATCTTACCAGCAGGTAATTCCTTGCTGTTGACAGTAACCCACTTCCAGATTGGAAGTCTGGCCTAAGTGCCAGCTCAGTAACAACCTGATTAATGTCTCTAACGTGTTGGAATTATTTCTTCAGATTTTTACAGGGCAAAGTCACCATTTATTTCAGTGAGCTCAATCCAGTTATAAGAGGCATTCCTACTCTTAACAGAATACTTCCTGAGACAGACATTGGATAAGCCAATTTACTTTGAAGGGCTTTTCCTTCTCCTCAGGAAAATCCCTCTGATCTAATTCTCCACTGAAGCTCCTGTGTTAAAAGAGGTTTCTGGCCAATGAAACAGGAAATCTGAGGAGACATAATTTACTCATTCCTTGAATGAGTTTTCTTCTTTGTGTTTTACAGCACAGCTACACCTCCTTCACAGCGGCTGGTGATCATGTTGGCAATTTCAGTCCAGCTGTCCATGTGAGGGTTATAAACTTCAACAGAGTCAGAGGTTACTGGAGCAGCAAAATCAGGACTGGGAGCTCGGCCTCCTGAGGCATAGAGAAGTCCATTCACAGCCACGACACAGACACCAGCTCTTGGGATCTTCATTGATGCAACTTCAACCCACTTCTCCTAACAAAAAGGTGAAAGATCAAGAAATAGCTTTAGGGCAAGCCCTGATTCTTATAAAGTAACTTTAAAAGCTTAAAGACTGAAACATACAAAGAACACTATGCATACACTTCACAGGCTTACATGTGGTATGGGTACAGTATCCAGAGGATTACCAAGACAGGAATGACAACACTTTCACAAGGGTTCCAAATTGTGTTAATCTCTAAAAAGCAGATCCCATACTGTCTGCATACAACACCCCTCCCTTTCTTCAGTCACTGCAAGATGCAGTCAGTCTCTAAAATAGAGCATGGTACAGTTTGAGGTGGGGGAAACAGGAAAACTAGATTCAATTTGAAAAGCAAAACAGATGGCACATCGGATTATGTTCTGCTTTTAGGAGTAGCTACTCTTCCAAAGAGCATCATAAAAACATGAACAGTAAGAGTCTGGAAATTTTTTAAATCTTCTAGTCATGCTGAAACACCGCTACATTTTGACGCAGAAGAAGATCCTCAAATTTTGCAATAAAAGGTAACTCTGACATTTTCAATGAATTTTTTCTCTCTATTCAGATTATTGAGCTTTCTGTTGCAGAGAGGGAATCGATCCTCTCATCTTAACCCTAAGAAGTATTTACCAAACTACAGTATATCTGTGCATAGTTAAACCATAACAACTACTTAGGACAGACCCTGAGATCACCAAAGCTTTGTTTCACCCAAGATACCCAGCCAGTAGTGAAAAGGAAATGAAGCAGGCTACCTCTATAGCATCTCACACAAAGCTGATGCAATCTACATTTATGAAAAGAAGGGGCTCTGCCATACCTCTTCGAATGAGTATCTTTCTACACTAGAAAGTGCGTCCTGGGATTCGTTCCAGCCTCCCACAGCATAGATACAATCGTTGAGAGCAGCTACACCAAGATAGGCTCTTCTGGTGCCCATTGGAGCGAGCTCAGACCAACGTTTAGAGATGGGGTCGTAGACTTCAACAGAACGCAGCTCTGCTCCTTCACTGCTGATACCACCAATGACATAAATCAAACCTGCAGAAACAGAGTCTCCTCATTTAATCTTCATAATACAGACAGGAAATTACTGTCACAACACAGTTTGACATGTAATGTTTCAGCCTGATATTAAGTGGGTTAAAGAATGACAGAAAATCCTCCTTTTGCACAGTAGTATAATACGTAAAGATTTTTTATGAGCAGCTTGGGGCTTGAGCACTAGAAGCTCTGAAGAAAGCTTCTAGAAA